CATGCATAGGTACAGTTTACAAGTTAAGTTCCAAATGACGGAAGGTGAGGACTGACAGTTAGTTAATGGAAGTTTGCGAAAAGTCGCGGCGAACACCAAAATCTGGGCTGCCGTCCCCATCCGCGTCGTCATACACAACATCGAAGAGGGGGTTGTTCTTGTAAAAGTCAGCACTGTAAAGAAAACGGGGATGACATGCTTCTAGAATGGCCAATAAGAACATTTTATTGGTATTAAAGGAAAGATGAAGTAAGGGAACATGCGATTATACGTAAAATACAAAATCACAAGAAAAGAAATTAGTGATAGAAGAACGCCAGGTGATACCGACGAACTAAGGACTGCTGAAAGAAAACGGTGTTAGAGGTGGAAAATTTTGTTACGAAAACGGGAAGATGGCTTTCATGCTGAAAGAACAGGAGAGACTGCAAAAAATCTCGAGAAAAAAAAAGAATAAAATACCACATGCTTTAAATACTTCATGGAAACAGATAACATGCTTTGGAGACAGGCGAGTGAAGTATCTTGAGTTGTTATTTCTGTCATCCCACATTTTATTCTGTTAATCTGTTATTTACTGTTATTATAGAGTCTGGATAAGGAGTGACATGCGCTATTCATGCGTTTGATGTACGAACCCAAGGAAGTTAAAATAAATCAGCCGAGATACTTCATCAAGAAAATCAGATTTTCCATTTGAGTAATCACACAAAATTGGAAATAATCTTCAAAAGAAACTTAACGCACATTCAAAATATACAATCCGAAAGCTTGTGGCCTTTTTGGGCTTCTTAGCAACAACAATATCAAATGCAAGTATTGTAGTATCGCATAAGGTATTGCCAACACAAAATAATTATACAATGATATCGAAGCCGAAACGTATATACAAGCAAGAATAATATAATGCAAATTCCCGAAACATTTCAGACTACATTAAAAACAAATGCAACGGAACACTCTAGCCAAGATATCATTCGGCAAGAAAATCATGAAATGAGGAAGGAAAGCTGCATCGGAAGAGGAGGAAATGCACTGCCCAGACACGTGAGTCTTTTACGCGACAACATCCACGCTTTCGTCAGCGGGGTTGATGGGGTTGCCGGCGTCATCGTAATAATCGGCAAAGGCTGGGTGATCCCTGTACCATCCGAGGCTGGAAGGCAATGAGCGGCGTTAATGGCGTCTCTCGAGCAGGCGGTGGGTGCCCCGCTCGATCTCCAGTGAAGTCCTTCTACTTTGGATACGTTGAGTGTGTCTGTCTATATCTTTTTCTGTATCTATCTTTATCTATATTTATCTTTATCTATATCTATATTTATCTATATCGATCTTTGTCTCTATCTATCTTTATCTATTTTGATCTTTATCTGTATCGATCTTTGTCTCTATTTATCTTTATCTATATCGATCTTTGTCTCTATCTATCTTTATCTATATTGATCTTTATCTTTATCTATTTTTCTCTATATTTATATCTATATATGTATCTAAATCTACATTTATATCTATATCAGTCACTATCTATATATCTATTTATCTATCTCTTTATATACCAAGCTGTCTACCCATCTGCACACATACACACATAAAATATGCATATATACATATATAGCGTGTTGTGTGTGTATATTAGACAATATCATCGTATGAGAAATGGACGTTCATAGGAGATGGCGAATAACAAGAATAACAAAGGAATGTAATTAAATGATGGGGGAAGAAAAGAAGAAGATAAAACATTTTCTTCATGCCTACGAGTACAACAATATTCTGAGTTTTGTTTTTAATCTTGTAATTAGGTTTTATTCTCAGCTTTAACTTGTAATCTAAGAATGAAGTGAAATGTTATCTTACCGTGATTCCTCAAAGGCAAGAGTGAGGGAACAATGAAATATGAACAAGCAGAAGAGGCTGGATGCCAAATATATATGTAGGTAGATAAGTAGATAGATAGATGGATAGATACGTGAATGATGGATGGGTGGGTGGGTGAATGGATGGATGGTTGGATGGATAGATAGACAGATAGAATGAGAGAGAGAGAGAGAGAGAGAGAGAGAGAGAGAGAGAGAAGAGAGAGAGAAGAGAGAGAGAAGAGAGAGAGAGAGAGAGAGAGAGAGAGAGAGAGAGAGAGAGAAGGAAAGAGAGAGAGAGAGAGAGAGAGAGAGAGAGAGAGAGAGAGAGAGAGGGAGGGAGGGAGGGAGGGAGAGAGAGAGGAGAGAGAGGAGAGGAGAGAGAGAGAGAGAGAGAGAGAGAGAGAGAGAGAGAGAGAGAGAGAGAGAGAGAGAAAGAGAGAAAGAGAGAAAGAAATAGAGAGACAGAGACAGAGAGAGACAGAGAGAGACAGAGAGAGATAGATAGATAGATAGATAGATAGATAGATAGATAGAGAGAGAGAGAGAGAGAGAGAGGGAGAGAATGAGAGAAGAGAGAGAGAGAGAGAGGAGAGAGAGAGAGAGAGAGAGAGAGAGAGAGAGAGAGAGAGAGAGAGAGAGAGAGAGAGAGAGAGAGAGAGAGAGAGAGAGAGAGAGAGAGAGAGAGAGAGAGAGGGAGAGAGAGAGAGAATGGGAGGAACAGATAGAGAGAGGATTGGGGTTACAAGTTGGCTGATACAAGGCAAACAACTGAGTAATCTGCCATAGCATGTTAATCTATTCACAGCGAGGAAACGCATCCAAAAGTAAAAGAAAATGTTATTGTGCAAAAAGAGAAAATAACAGATTGGTGTGACGCCTGCAACCAACAAGAGAGCAATCGGTAACAGCCCTTGTGACTATTTTGAACTTTTTTTTTTTTGAAATTGCAACTAAACTTCATGCAAAGAAAAGAATGCTAGTGTGTAATTACCATGATGCGAAAATAGTTATATATGACTAATCAAATTAATGGTGATGATAAGAACATGATTATAAGGAGTAACATTAATTGATATATTTTCAATTAGATTTAGGGATTTTGTGTTCATAAATATGAGTGTACATAAGCCCTTATGTGTGTGTGTGTGTGTGTGTGTGTGTGTGTGTGTGTGTGTGTGTGTGTGTGTGTGTGTGTGTGTGTGTGTGTGTGTGTGTGTGTGTGTATGTGTGTGTGTGTGTGTGAGTGTGTGTGCGCGGCTGGGTCCCACTTACCAGGCGGCCACGTTCTCCGGGTAGTCGCACATCATAGTGACGTCGTTGAAAACCTGGCCGAGGCTGCAGGAGGCCTCCTGAGGGGTGACGCCGTTGTGGCACACGTAGAACTTCTGGCAGTCATCCAGGTTGGCAAAGGCGGGGTGGGGCACGGGCCGGCCCTCGAAGTCAGTGAAGTCCTTGGCGCCCTCGCAGCAGAAATCGTTGATGCATTCTGTGGGCAAGGGGCGTGGCTTAGTGACCGAGTGGCACTGGGAATGTCTTTAGCAGGGCGGGGGGCGTGGCTTAGTGACCGAGTGGCACTGGGAATGTCTTTAGCAGGATGGGGGGCGTGGCTTAGTGACCGAGTGGCACTGGGAATGTCTTTAGCAGGGCGGGGGGCGTGGCTTAGTGACCGAGTGGCACTGGGAACGTCTTCAGCAGGGCGGGGGGCGTGGCTTATTGTCCGAATAGGTTTGAGTGCATTATGCGAAGTATGAGTTTTGAGACAGTTGTCCCTTGTCTATGAGAGTGCCTTCTGTGGGGATGGAGGCTTGGCTTGATAACTGACTGTGCTCGAAAATGTCAATTGTTAGCAACCAAGGGGCTCTGGGAGTACCAGCTGTCGTGTCTAACGACTTAGAGGGTCAGAGGCTTTGAGTGCGCCTTCTGGAAGTGGCTAAGTGGATGGGGAAGACAAGTTACTCTGGTACATTTAGCGTTTTCGGGAAGTCTAAAGATATTTAACAAAAATCTACAGGAAAATGACTAAGTGAAACATAAAGCGACCCGACAAAAGTGGTTAAGAAGTCTAATGGTATTGAAAATAAAGAAAAAATAAGTGAGTGAAGTCTAAAGAACTTGACAAAATGGTTTCGAAGTTCAAGAAAAAATAAAAACAACAACAGCAACATAGAAACAAAGCCGTTTGAGTAAGATTTCGTGTATCAGGAAAAGGTACGGAGAACTTGAAATGTAAGTTTTAGTCTAAGCCTATAATTCCAGGTTTTGATCTGGACACCTCGGCTGTAAAAGATTTTGATTCCTAATTTTTAACTCTAAATCATGTTGCGGTTTCACAGTGATGCCCTATTTGCAACGTCCTAGACTTTAAAGATTATGATACCTTTGTTACTCTCACGTGAAAGGCATGGAGGAAAGCTGCAACAAAGAGAGTATTTTCCTTTATGATACCAGTGCAAATTATGAACTGCAGAAAATTATTCAAAACTATAATACGCTCACTTCAAATTAAATATACATATTAATAGATTTTTATCTTGCTTAGGATTTATGCAATGTGATTTCAACATTATCGTTTAAACAAATAGTAAAATCCAATGCAGCAGACAATTTTATAAATAAAAAATTGAGATAAAGTATAATAAAGATTTTTTTTACATTGATTATTCAGACCCTGCGGCTAAAGATACATTGAGACATTTTTTAAATTTTCCATTACATTTAATTAAGACTAAAGTAACTCAAATAGCTATAGATAAAGTAGAATATTTCTGCTCTTCATATTGACAAACAGTTATGTAGTTACGTTACTAAGCAAGAGGGCATTTAGATATTAAACAGTATCCAGTCTTACATACTTCAATCAGAACATGCTTTCCGGCCATCTACATACCGTACTCTTTGGGAACTCCTGTGCCAACCCTGGCTGAACCCTAGAATGAGAATCCTTGGTCTGGCGAAACCACCTTTGAACCCTTGAACACTGGTGTGAAAATCCCTAGGCTTACAACACTGTGAATCCCGGTGTACGAAATCCTGTCTTAACACTGTAGAACCCCTGGGTGAATACTCTTGCCCTAATCCCTCGTGAATCCCAGTGTTAGAACCCCTACCCAACCCCTTAGTGTGAGAATCCGTGCCCTAACCCCTCACAAACTCCAGGGTGAAAACGCTTCGTGAACCCAGTGTGTTCTACTCCCTCATAACGCTAGTGTGAGCACTTCTGTCCCAACTCTGCATGAATACTAGGGTGAGAATCCCTGCGGTAACCCCCTAGAAGCACCAGTGTGAATATCCCTGCCCTGAACTCTCAGGAAGTCCAGTGTGAATGGCTAACCTCCCAGAGTGAGAACCCCTGCTCTCACTTCCCATGAACCCCACTGTGAAAAATCCTGCCCTAACCCTTTGTGAACCCAGTGTGAAAATCCTTCTCTTAACACCCTACAGCCGCTTGGAGAACCTTTGTCCTGTGCCCTCAGCTCAAGGACTTACTCCTCTCGTCCCCGCAGTTAGTCCTTCCTGCCGCGGCCGCCCAAGCGCAGGTGCCGGTCTTCCTGTCGAAGTGCAGGCCGGCAGGGCACTCGGTGACGGTGTGCAGGCCGTCGATGCAGGTGTAGTACTTGCCGCAGAACTGGTTGTCGGCGAAGATACCGTGAAGGCGGGGGCAGAAGACGCTGAAGTTGGATGCGGGTTCTGCGGAGAGACAAACACGTGAGGTGTAGGAAATCGAAAGAGGGGGAGTGAATAGGCCTAACGGTGTGGATGAAGCTGGTGTGTAGAGAGAGAGGTCGTTTTGATGAGGAGGGAGAGGGGCACATCTCACTGCTTACCTTTATGTTTTACAATCATGCTTCACTTTCTTTCTCTGATCGTATGAAGTAAATGTTGCTGCAGTGGTTATCACCGGCATCATCTGTTATTGTTCACATCGCTTTTATCTGTACTGTGATTATTGAAATTATCTTTGGCCTTTTTGTCATAAATATCATTACTGTAATTGACATTAGGAAGGATCTTAATTCTAGTCTAATAAAGAAAACGACGCTTCACTGGAGGGGGAAACTATGCCAGTCTCTCTTCAACTCGTGCGTAGACAAGTCACGTCAAATCCGCGTTTTCACTTTAAATAGACAATCCACACAATAAACCGTGACCTCTCACAAATAGTAATAAAAAAAGCCCTCCTTTTATCGTAGTGCAAAATGAACTTAAAAAAAAAAAAAGATAAAAATGTATATATACAAGCTTAAGCAACAACAAAACCGGCAAAAAATTGACTTACGCATCAAGGACCGTTCTCCACAGTCAACCACGTAAGGGATGTCGCAAGGATCGACGTGGCCTGCCTTGCCCTTGAACTCATCATAGACTTTTCCATCTTCGCACAAGAGAGGCGTAGGGATGTCGTCGCTGCACTCGTAGTACTTGTCGCACTGGTAGGGATCCGCGAAGTACCCGTAGGGCTCCGGGCAGAGGAACTGTGAGCCTGAGAAGTTGTCCAGTTGATTTCTCTGGGGAGATCCTGCAATAGGAAGCAAAAGTTAGTGTTCTGGCTGGTATAGGAAATCGGTCGTTATTGTAATGTGTTTATTGTTTAAATTACTTTAGTGATAGAATTGTCATTGGTATTATTATTGTTCTCGTTGTATATTGCGTAAGGTAATGTACTTATGCATTATGACAATATTCTGAATTAAAATGGTTCTTTTCATACGGTAGCACCTGTGTACTAATGAACTACTCAGTATTTACAAAATCATAAATCCTGCCAAATGATAATAATAATAACCACGTAATCACGTAGGAGAAAGAAAAAAAGGAAAATTCGAAGAAAAAGAAAGGAAAAAAGACGAGAGTCATCATACTTCAAGATCGGCTCCGCATGCCTGAACTCGCCAGTGATTTAATCCGTTCCGAAGCTGAAGCCGAAGTCAAGTGTATTCGAACGAAGCGAAGAAAATAGGTCAGCAGTTCGGTGTTATTTACCCCGTGATATACTTTTCCATTTTCAAATCATTTTTCCCCAGAATATCATTGCATGTTGACAGAATTGAATACTTAATGATTTTCCGTGGTTTCATGACTATTATCTAACAACGAAAGAGAAATTATTGGAAAGTTTATAATTTGCAAAACGATCTACATATCTTACAAAAAACAAAACAAAAAAAAACAAAAAAAAAACAGGAGAATATGTCTGAATATGTAACCACACTGCCTAAATTTAGTGAACTGAAAGGGCCATTATTCAAACAGTAAATTTACATACCTAATTGGCAGCAGCAAATTGCTCACCTTATAGAGTAAACTTGGGTAATGTAACAAAAATATTCGCAGAAAAGAAGGCCACCGTTTCTTAAGGCTCCAAAAAATACGCTTAAAGCTGTTTTGAGCAGTCGTCTTAGAGAGAGAGAGAGAGAGAAAAGAGAGACAGACAGATAGAGAGCGAGAGAAAAAAAGAGACAGACAGGCAGACAGAGAGAGAGAGTGAGAGAGAGAGAGAGAGAGAGAGAGAGAGAGAGAGAGAGAGAGAGAGAGAGAGAGAGAGAGAGAGAGAGAGAGACAGAGACAGAGACAGACAGATAGAGAGAAAGAGAGAGAGAGAGAGAAAAGACAAAGAGAGAGAGAGACAGACAGAGAGACAGAC